GTTTCCCGTATTTTTCCTGGGTTAATAAAATTCCCGTATATTTCCCGGATTTCCCGTATCGGTCGACACCCTGCACTTTATGTATAATATACCTTAAAAAAAAAAAAAACTACAAGCATTTTTTTTAATAAAAAAAAGGAATCTATTATTTTGCTTTGTTGAAATTATCCATAGTGATGACTCGTCGCATGTATCAAGCACTTACGTGAAATTGGTAACAAACCAACAAAATTTTTTTCAACACAAAAAACTAAAGTTCAAAAATTGTGCAGATGAAAAAAGAAAAAAAAAAAAAAAATTATCAGTAAGATTCAAAAACTGGCATGTTTGGCTGGAGCGAAAGATTTAGCCCGTGCAGCTATCGTCGATCGTACTTCTACTGTACAAGGTGTCATATTTAAGTTGTGAGAAGTAGGCGGGGCTTAGGTTAAAGGTCTGGGTAGGGGGGCTCTCCCGCTCCAGCTTGCTCTATGGAGAGAGGGTAATTGCGCACTGCGTATGCGGCAAACTTCCGAAAATCTGGGAGCCTTGTTCTCATTTTTTTCGTGGTATTCAAATACAGAAATGACAACTGGGTCATTTCACAAACACTGCGATATTTCCACGCTCTCATTGAGTTTCTTTTAATTGGATGTTTAGAATTTTTTCAAATGTTTTTTTTACGTTATGTAAGGTCCAAACTAGTTGGAAACTTTTAGGCCCAGCTCTACGATTTTTCATTAAAATGGTCATTTTAATGCAATCTTTATTAATTTTAAAGGAGCATTAAGGTAATGATAAATGCCATTACCGAAACAGTTCTTTATTGCGATTCTAAAGACCCAAGATGGAGTTTTTCAACAAAATTTTGTTTGTCATATCTGCACTCTATACCCTTCGTACACTATAGTCATATAATCAATAGATTCAAAATCTCTCCGAGATTAGGGGCGTTACGGTAATGACCGCTAATTTTACCGGGGAAAACGCTCTGTATATAACTACACCATAACTACAAACAGCCACATTAAAATTTGGGGCTGCAAAAAAATTTTCCAATGTTCTCGCACACTCCGCAATACAAAACAAATAATTTCAAGTGTCTGAAAATGAGCCACTTGACTAAACTTAACCATTTGTGTGCGATTCAAAAGTATCAAAAGTAGGCTTTACAAATAAAACGTCCCGTACTTGATAACAAATTATTTTTTTCGGTTCTAAACTATCATATAAGGTGGTCAACACCTTAAACTTTTAGATAGTACATGTAAAAAAATTTTTAAATTAACATTTAGGCACCAGAACCCGGGAAAAATGAAATTTTTAAATACTTTGCGTTACCGTAATAAAATTTTAGCCTGTTTTTTCAACTTTACGGCCAGGCAAAAAAAAATTTTTGACCGGATCTTAAAAATGCATTGAAGAAAAATTGGTTTACGCCGTTTAAAAAAATTTTTAACTCGAATAATTCGATCCATCGATTTTAAACATAGGCTTCATGGAATATTGTATTTTTTTTAAATGACACAACTGTAGAGCCACCCTTATTTGACTTACAAGCAATTAACTCTTCGTGACTTTAAAAAAAAAAGTATTGCGGTATTAAGTAGTTTTGCTTTATTATATACTTAGGAACTATTGATATTTAAGAACTTTCTTCTAACCTCTTCTAATTTCCTTCATTAATTCTACTCAACATAAGACTAGATTTTAAGGACTTACACAACTTCAATAAAGTATTCTTATTTAAGTTACACAATAATTTAAATTAAGAATGGCAGAACATAAAAGAGACATAGAGAAAAAAAATGGATAGATCTGTACAATCACAACATGGCATTGAATTTACACACAACTTTAATTTTGATAAAATAAAAATCTTAGACACGGATGAAAATTATAAAAAGTGCCTGTTTTCCGAACTGTTAAATATACATTATTTCATTAATAATATTAATAAACAAGAAGATACAGAAAAATTAGAAAATTGTTACAAGTCTCTCGATAAGTCAATTAAGAAAGGAGGCTAACTCGATGCACATGATTTGAGGGCCCCTTTCATTTATGGTATTAGGAAAACATGATATGTTTACGTATGTCTCATAAGAAACTGCTTGCGATTCTTATTTGATTGTATTGTGTGCGTATATTGTGTCATTTGTATGTGTGCAGGGTACAAAAGCAACAAAACTTGAAACTCTGACTACATTACGATTTTACATCCCTTCGTAAGAGTCAGAGGTATATTATACTTTTAACCTAATTTGCGTTTATTGTATTTATCGAAATTTGTATTGTAAAGAATTTTTATTACTCATCGATTTTTGTACTTGATGAGAGCCGGGACATTGTCCAAGCGGCCGAAACGTCGTTTTGTTTTTTAATAAATACAAGACAGTACCACCATTGGACGTTATTTTAAGAATGTAAAGTGTTATCCTAGTTTAAGTGTATGTGTTACAAAGTCAAGCAAAGGTATACCTGAAAGATTCTTGATAACAGTATCCTTCGAAGTAGAAATAAATTTGTTAAGGATTCATTCTCGTTACTTTATATCCATGTTAGTCTATTGTTAGTTTTGTCCTTATTTGTTGCAAAATAAATTTTTAGTGAAAAAGTTAATATTATACAATTTCTTTTCTAACCTAATTTGATTCTTATTTATATAATCAAATTATTGTA